AACAACTATCAATGGCGGCTGAAGTTTAAATGCACAAAAATAAGCCATAAATACAGTTTCTACTATCAAAGTAGTCACACTTTGTTGATCCAAACACTGCTGATCTGTCAACACAAATGATGGGCAGATTAAACAGCTCATGCCGATGCTTCTCCCACACAACGGGTGTTTGGATCTAACTTCCGCGTTTATTGCTCGGACTGTATCGCAAGATCTCGAAAATCCCGCGCATGCTTGTTTGCCCCCCTCAGGTCTCCGCACCGGAGCGGAGCCGTTGTAGAGCGGGTACCAGTAAAAATTGAGTTCGTAAGCGAGTGGCTGCGGAAGGCGGGGGCGGACCAGAGCGGAGCGGAGGTAGTGGAATTTGGGGGTCATACAGACCATTTTAGATTAGGTTACATTTCCTTTATTCCCAGATTATGTAGTTTGTAGCACTCATTATAATGTTGTAGAAAATTTCTGGCCAATGAACGTGATCGGTATCGGTGATCGGTATCGGTGATCAGCATTCTATGATATCGGTATCGGTGATCGGCAGCAAAAAACCTGATCGGTGCATCCCTAAAAGGCGCTACACAAGTGCGGGTCATTTATCATTTACTATTTCACTATCAGTAGCAGCACCTTTTTATCCAGCCGTCATAACATAAATAAAAACATTTGACAGAAACAGACTTTATCGGACACCAGAGCAAATGTAAAACCTGCCTTCTGGCGCTTTTCTGTTACCCACGTAACGACATGGGTCAAATTAAACATAATTTACTCAAAAATCCTTTAAACATATTTACTGACTAGTGTTATGAAAACTAAAATCAACGTTGTTATTTTACGTTTTGTATTTGCGTCAGAAAGTTTTATCCCGTCAGAAACTAAGCGTGGTTTAGTTTTTTCTTCAGGAAACCCAAAACCTCTCACATCAGATTTTATTTGACTCCAATCAATCAATCAATCAATCAAAGCTTTATTTATAAAGCGCCTTCCACAACCCTGTCAGGAAGCCCAAAGCGCTGAACATTGTACAGTTGTATGTAAATATATTGAATAAATCAACAATAAAAGAAATTCAAATTACAAAATACAAATTACAAAATACAAAATGGAAATTACAAGATAAATGAAACATTCTGGTAAAGGACAAATGTGTGAAACACATTTGGATTGAGTGGATGGATTGAGTGTACCAATGAAAACTGTGGAATGGATTCAACATAAAAGAGGGCCAAAATCAAACATGTTCTGGAAATGCCAAGCGGAGGAGGTGTGTTTTTAGGTGATTCTTAAAGACTGGCAGAGAAGGGGACAGCCTAACTGAGGGTGGCAACTGGTTCCAGAGTAACGGTGCTAGGACTGAGAAAGCCCGGTCCCCACGGGTACGACACCTAGACCGAGGGACAGCGAGCAGGCCTTGGTCAGAGGAGCGCAGGGGACCACCACCCTGGAAGAAATGATAAACAAAGACGAGGATTTTGAATTGTGAGCGATAGCAAATCGGAAGCCAGTGCAGAGAGGCCAGAACCGGACTGATGTGGTCCCGTTTCCTGGTCCCAGTCAGGAACCTGGCTCCAAAACAGGTTTAAACTGCGGAAGTGAGAAAACTTTAACCTTCAGTGTTGTTTTATTATATTTAAAAGTAGGGCTGCAACAAACGATTATTTGGATAATCGATTAATCGGATGGGGTCTCGACACGATTAATCGATTAATCGGATTACATAGGGACATTTTTAAAAACTGCTAGGGAAACGTTACTTTTCTCCTTCCTTCACTTTATTAAACACGCCATTATTAGAAAACAGTTCAATAGCAGAAAAACAACATGCCATCACCTAAATTGTCTTATAAGGTGTATAGACAGAGACCCTAAGCTACACCTATCTGTGACCTAAAATGCTTGGTCCAAGTTAAACAGCTTAAAGAGCAAGTCAACCCCTACCAGAGTCTAACTCCACTCCCGCTTCATGTTTGAAATATGCAACACATGCTGTTGCCTGGCAGACCGAGAGGGCGGAGCCGCTAACAAATACACACACTCAGGCTCACGACAGCATTGTGACATCATAATGTACCAGTTTACATCATAGCATACTTCTTAGCCAATAGCGGTGGCAGATTTAAATTAAAATACAGTGCAGAGTTTTTACCTGACAATGGCACAACACTGCCAGTTTGAGGCAGAATATTTAAATTTTAACTAAGATGCACTGAAGTGCCAAATTATTGATGACACGTGTCTGCAGCACGATTAGACACTCGTTTATTTAGTTTATCAGCAAAAAAAAGTTTATTTGGGGGTGACTTGCTCTTTAAGGGCAATTCTCATCTGTTTTGTTTGATCTCATCTGTAGACATTTATTATAATTGGGGATGTCAAACAACTAATTTTTAAATGTAATTAAACATAGGCTGTGAATTAATCAAAATTAATCACTATTTCCAAAAATGACTGAAACAATACCAAATAAAACAAAAATAAATGAATGCCATCCTCCTTGCGATGATGCCCTGGGCAACTGCCATAAAGTCACATCAAGAAATGTTGCTGATCATTCCAATGATCCCAAACAGACTCACATTAGGCCACATGAAAGCAACTGAACCCAAAAATATATTAACCAGTATATAACTGCACTCTCACACAACACGCCTGCAGCAACAGTTAGGACTCCTCCCTCCCTTTTAAGAGCGTTTTCGCTTCTGAGGACATTGTGGTTGTAAAGCCACATGTTAGTAGTCTGGCCCCGGTGTAATCAACCAGTTTCTGCGGAAATGTGACGGCGGAACCGGTTCGCAGCGGCGCGAGTCCCCCCCCCCCCCCCCACCCCTATCTAATAGCGTCGCGCTTACAATTTTATAGACTTTTTTTAAGAGCTTAGGGCATGTCTAGCGTGTGTAATAATCCGGGGCTTGGGTGAATCACATTTGAAAAGTTTTTAACTTACCCGGACACCGAGCTCTCTCCTTCCTCGCTGATGATTCTGACATGCTTGCGTTTAAGGCCGGGGACACACTGGCCGCGGAAGCGCCGCGAAGCGCCGCGAAAATGGGACCGCCTTCATTCGGCGCCCTTGTTAAGCTATTCTATAGACTACATGGGCCGCCGAAGCGCCGCGAATCGCCTCGCGCCGGCGCGCGCCGGCGCTCCAGCCCGCGCCGTGCAGCGATCATTTCGGCGTTGGCTCTATTTTTTTCGCGAGCCGCGGGTGAATCGCGTCAATTCTGGCAGGAAGTCAAACGTAGACATAAGAGGCAGGCCGGTAAAGTTAACAAAATAAAGCATTTCAAAATAAAATTCCGCAATAGTCAAATGTGTTCGTAAACAGACACTGCAGAAAAACCACACGAACACGCACACACATACACACACATCGAACTTGTGTGCGTGTGTGACCACGTGAAGGGGGGAGTGGTTTTGGGTGTCTTTTCACCGGAGCAAACAGGACAGAGAGGCAGAAAGTCTGAGGCAAGCAGTTAGGATGGATGACTTTAAATTAATTATGGAAGTTGAGAAACACAAGGAGCTGTACGACCCCCGAAAAACATGATTGTTTACGTACCCATGTCGGAAGAAACTGCTAGGATACAGCTGCAGAATTGGAGCGGGTTCCAAGAGATTCAACTGGCAGAAACAACTCATACCATAGGTTCACACACGCGCGCGCAAACACTCAAACGTAGGAAAAGAGCTGAGAAAAGGCAGAGAGGAAATGGAGGACACCAAGTGTTTAAAAGAAAAACTACAGCTGAGCCGAGGCGCGCCTCGACTGGGGCGCGTCTGATCTGAACTGAGGAGCGGCGAGCAGCGGCCGAATTTCGTGAGCGATTCGCTTCTCGGCGCTTCGCGGCGCTTCCGCGGCCGGTGTGTCCCCGGCGTAAGACGCTGCATCATCACCGTAGTATCCCCGTGCCAAGTCTGACCTACAAACATTGCATGTCTTCGCCTGATTTAACTGAAAATGCTCCCAAACTTTAGAAGTTTTTACTTTTTTGGGGTCTCGCTGCTTCTGCCATGTTCCTCTTACAAACACCTGCCGGCTCTCCACCGGTCTGCGCGCAACGGCGGGCGGGAGGGGAGGGGGCTTTTGGAAGAGTTGCGCAACACAACGAATCGATGACGCAATTCGTTGCCAACGCTTTTAGTAATCGATTTTCATCGAATTTATCGATTCGTTGTTGCAGCCCTATTTAAAAGCAAGTCCCTCCAAATCAACATATTTTTGCTGATAAACTATATAAATGAGTGTCTGATCGTGCTGTTGGCAAATGTAGTCAATAATTCGGCATTTTAGTTCTTCTTAGTTCAAATTAAAATTTTCTGCCTAAAACTGTCAGTGTTGTGCCGTTGTCAGGTAAAAACTCTGCACTGCATTTGAATTTAAATCTGCCATCACTATTGGCTAAGAGGTACACTATGATGTTAGATGGTACATTATGATGTCACAATGTCGTGAGTGTGTGTATTTGTTAGTGGCTCCGCCCTCTTGGTCTGCCAGGCAACAGCATTTGTTGCACTTTTCAAACAGGAAGTGGGAGTTGAGTAAGAATCTGGTAGGGGGTGACTTGCTCTTTAATGACACGGGAACTAGAACCCTGCATCAGTGATCTCAGCGGTCAGCTTTGTTACATCTTAAATAGTTTTAAAGGTTGATCTCTGCACAGCGACACACAGAAGGTAGAATTAGCCAACTATAATACATGTATTTAATTTATTATCTGTAGATTTGTGCAGGATTGCTGCAGATTTTTAAACCATCCCTTTAGTTCCACACTAACCCTGAAACTCTTTTTGTATTTGAACATTTTTAAATCACCATCTTTAGCTTTTTGATTTCCAAAGAGAATAAAAGCCATTTCCTTAATAATCAGTATGTTTATTTACTAACACCAGTGTGAGATTTCGGGGCATCAGCTGCCTCTCAGCTGCTTATTTCCTGCTCTTCCACAGACGGGACACTCGGTGATTTAGGTTTGTTTGCTCTGCTGATGATGTTTGTGTTTCAGCGCCTCTCTGAATCACGATGGAAGCCAAACCCAAAAAAGCGTTCTCCCCTAAAGGAGGGAAAAAGCTCCTTCAGAAAAGAAAAGGTGGGTCCCATCAGTAAGAGTCACACTCAGAAACCAGTGAGCCCATTTTAACGTTGGCGCTCTTTCCAGATTCCCTCGGTACCAAACTGGGAGGAAAGCCCGGAGGGAAGAAGCCCTTCAAACCATTTAAAAACACAGAGAAGAAGAACAGACCAGGGAACACGCGGGAAGGAGGAAGGAAGGAACACAAATCTGGGTTCTCTAAAGGAAGGCAAAGGAAGAGAAGCGTGTCGGAGGAAGGTGAAGGTGAGGAAACGAGTGTTTGAGGAGTTTTATAGATTTATTAAAAGCATCAGACTACTTAAGCTGCTCTTGTGCCGATTCTTTATCTTTGATGATGGTGTTTGTCTTGCATCCTGTCATGTTGGTATCTGTCATCAGGTCCAGAGCCAAAGAGGACGAGGAAAGGCGATTTCAAGGGCGGGAAGAAGCCAACAAAGGAAGAGCTGAAGAAGAACCGACAGCAGAAGAAGAAAGATCTGAAGAAGAGCCGACAGCAGGCAGAGAGGAAGGACATGTTTGAAATCATCTGCTTGTCCAAAAAAGTCTGGGGAAATCTCAGGAGGTACGAACATCTGAAAACTTTCATTTGTACTAAATATGAACAGCTGACGACGGGGAAAGCAGGACAACGTTCCCTCATTAGATCAGCGCCGGTCCCTTAGTCTTCTGCAGATTAAAAGTAAACAATTATGTGGGACGCACTTTTATAAGTTTATGATTTATGGGAACCAGTTAATTGCTGATCTGGTCCAGTTTAAACCCACAATCCAGTCCAATTGAAACCCTCGGTCCGGTCCAGTTGAAACCCTTAATCCGGTCCAATTGAAACCCTCAACTCCGGTCCAGTTGAAACCCTCGATCCGGTCCAGTTGAAACACTCGATTGTGGTCCAGTTGAAACCCTTGATTCGGTCCAGTTCATATCCTCGATCCGGTGCAGTTTAAACCCTCGATCCGGTCTAGTTTAAAACTGATTAGGTTTAAACCTATGTCGATGGTTTAAACCCTCAATCCGGTCCAGTTGAAACCCTCGATCCGGTCTAGTTTAAACTCTGATTAGGTGTAAGCCCTCGATCTGGTCCAGTTTAAAACTGATTAGGTTTAAACTTATGTCGATGGTTTAAACCCTCAATCCGGTCCAATTGAAACCCTCGGTCCGGTCCAATTGAAACCCTCGGTCCGGTCCAGTTGAAACCCTCGGTCCGGTCCAGTTGAAACCCTCAATCTGGTCCAGTTGAAACACTCGATTGTGGTCCAGTTGAAACCCTCGATCCGGTCCAGTTCATATCCTCGATCCGGTCCAGTTGAAACACTCGATTGTGGTCCAGTTGAAACCCTCGGTCCGGTCCAGTTGAAACCCTCAATCCGGTCCAATTGAAACCCTCGGTCCGGTCCAGTTGAATCCCTCAATTCCGGTCCAGTTGAAACTCTTGATCCGGTCTAGTTTAAACTCTGATTAGGTTTAAACCTATGTCGATGGTTTAAACCCTCGATCCAGTCCAGTTTAAACCCTCGGTCCGGTCCAATTGAAACCCTTGGTCCGGTCCAGTTGAAACCCTCAATCCGGTCCAGTTGAAACCCTTGATCCGGTCCAGTTGAAACACTGGATTGTGGTCCAGTTGAAACCCTTGATCCGGTCCAGTTCATATCCTCGATCCGGTCCAGTTTAAACTCTAATTAGGTTAAACCTTGTTTTATTTTGTTCTGCTGCTGATTGGTGATCTTCGTGTCAACAGGAAGGACTGTAAAGCAGAGGTGAAGAACAAACTGATGAAGGAGCTTCACAATCTGATCTGTGGGAAAGTCAAGCAGGTGTGTTGTTGTTGTTGTTTGTGTTTGTTATTAAAGAGGCGGCTTTAAGCCACGAGCAAGAGCTCTCAATCCCGATGAGGTCACCTGTTCTGCAGGGATGTCCTGACCCCAGCTCAGAGAGGACCAGCCTCATGGAGTTCTGATGGAAGAAGCCTTCTGGATGAGATGGAGGCGAAGACAACGAGAGAAGTCCGGTTGTTCGGTGCTGCGTTCAGGGTCATTACGGGAAAACCACCTAGCTGATTTCAGTCTCATAAGAAGTTGTTTTTTTAATATTTTGGAGAATTAAACGTTTATAGAAAAACGTTTGCATTTTGTGAAAGTGAAAAAGAAAAAAACACTTTTTACTGATTTAGGAATAAAAATAAAAAGAGGATAAATGAAGCTGCTGCTGAGTTTTTAATCCGGGTCAGATCTGAAGAACTTAAAGTGTAACGCTCAAGTCAGAGTCTGACTCTACGGCTGCTGCAGATTTAATCTCCCCGACACACCGACCCAACTCCGGTCCTCTCCATGTTCAGCAGCACTAACCCATGTAAGCAACTGTTGTCTGTGATGAAGATGAACTCCTTCCTCAGCCCAGAGCCCAACCCCACCTGGCTGGAGCAGGTGAGCCGAGTGGAGCAAGCTGAGCTTGGATTGTTTTTCTGCTACAAAGCATGGAAGTTAATAGAAGAGGTACTTTTAAATGAGAATAGCTATTTTTTGGTTTTAGTTGGCCGGTGAAAAGGATGAAAGCTATTCTAAAATGGGCACTAGAAAGGCTACAGATAGAAATGAACAGAAAACCCCGTTGTTGTCCTTCAGTGGGGAAAGTTTGATGTCACAGCAGCAATAACATTCATTACAGGAGCAGAAAAGAGAGTAAAAGAATAAAGAGTAAACCAGAAAAACTTAAGATTCAACAGGTTAAAAATTCTAAAATGCTGAATATTTACACATTTTAAGGAATAAAAAGAATTAAAAGAAAATCGAGACATAGGTAACGACCGATGTGTTTGATTTAAAACTGACTTGCTCGTGTGTAATTTGGTCACGCCAGATTCGGTGTTAAAAAGGTTCAAAAACAGTTCATATCTGATAAAGGGGATAAATATAAAGTGTATTTTATTGATAGATGAAGGAAAATTTGCACATTTTCCTAGCCTGACAAGCCAGACTAAATAAATGTATTATGTAGTCTGGCAACGCTCCGCTGACGGCTCTCGGTTGTGGGGCGGGTTCTACCGTTGTTTTTCAAATGATCTCCGCATGCTACTGGACAATGAATGTGACATACTCACCGCAACAGCCATCGGTAAATGAGGCGGTCCGCAGTTGAAGAAGGAGAAAACGCATAATTGTTTCTAAAAAAAGCTCTTAAATACATCTATCTGCTCCTGATTCTAATGAAGCCCAAGTTCTAATAATCCAACATGGATGTAAAAGCCGTTTCAAACGAACTGTCGCCATCTTGTTTCACTCTGTTGCATCATCCCACCCACCAGGCATATGGAGTGCCCTGATTGGCCCACAAAGCGGATAAAGCTCTGCGATTTGTTCACTAAGCAGATAGAGCACTATGATTGGCCCACCATTATGGACCAATCACAGCTCTTTATGTGTTTGAAACCCCTCTAGAGAGCTGTGATTGGCCAGCCAGAATGCTGTTGGGGCTGCTGAGGTTCCAGTGAAGCGTTCCTAGACCAAACTTAGCAAAGCAAGAATGTGGTCTAGTTCGCTAGGCTAACATTTTCCATCACTTTTCAATAAATATGGAGTTTGGCTCGCGACTTCGTCCCAGTTTGTCATTTCGGCCCAGTGGGACTGACACCCGGTCTCAGCCAATAGCAATGGCAGATTTAAATTCAAATGTAGTGCTGAGTTTTTACCTGAAGAGGGCGCAACACTGACAGTCATAGGCAGAATATTTAATATTTTTGTCTGCAGCACGATTAGACTCTTGTTTATCAGCAAATAAAGTTGATTTGCTCTAAAGTTTGTAAGTCTGGACCAGATGTTGTTCCGTCGGATCGTACCAGATCCGGACCTGGATCCTGAACGTGCCTCGGTAACTGATAAAACCCAAACCAGCATGTGTTTAACGCTCTGATGCTTTTCCTCCAGATGGCGTTTGCTCACGATTCTGTTCGGGTCCTGCAGTGCTTCATCCAGTTCGCCAGCGATGAGCAGAGACAGGAAGTGTTTTTGGAGCTCCAAGGTGAGACCCGGTTTAACCCTTTAAGGTTTGTGTTTGAGAGGCTCACCTGTACTCACCTGCTGTCCGTCTCCTGTAGACAGCATCCTCCCTCTGAGCAAGTCTCAGTACGGCAAACATGTGGTGAAGAAGCTGCTCATGTACGGGTGAGTCGGGTCAGACCGTGTCCTTTAACTGATTCTGATGAGTAAAACGCCTGAAACCTTGCGTCGTTCCATTTCCTCCACAGGGACAAGAAGCTGGTGGCGGCCGTGATCCAGTTGTTTAAGGGTCAGGTTCGCCAGATGCTCCGCCATTCAGCCGCCTCCTCCATCATCGAGTATGCCTACAATGACAAGGCCGTGCTTTCCCAGAGGCTGATGCTCGCCGACGAGCTGTACGGGAACACCTACGCCGTCTGCAGGGTGCGCACATACACACACACACACACACACACACACACAATCGTCTAACATTCATTGTGAGCAGGGGTGCCGTAAACGGGGGAAAGGTTAGGACAATTCTAAGGGCCCTCGGCTGTCAGGGGGCCCAAAAAAGTTTCAAACTTCAATTAAAAAAAAGTTTCAAATCACGTACTTTATTTTGCAATGTTTTTTCTAATGTAAGGCGTTAAAAAACATCTTTTTGTCCTAATGAAGTGTATATTTATTCAGAGGTCTCTACTTTATTTTGACAAATTCATTTGATTGGGTTTTGTTTCACCGTTAAAATGTAAATCCCTCCGTTATGGTTCAGATACCTCACGTTAAAGGGGCATTATGTAAGTTTGACGGCCAAAACATGTATGTAAATAATAAATGTCTTCTTCATACATTCTCCTGCAATGCCCTGGTCCTGTAGAATGAGTCCTGGCATTTTTACTGTGATTGCCTGTTTTTCTGTAAAATCACAGAAAAAGAGAGATGCTTGGGTCGAGCAGGCTGCTTCATGCGCGTTCACGCTCAGGCATCGCCCGTAGCATTTGCTATCCGTAGCTTTAGCAGCAGAGAGAGAGGCAGTGCCACTTTGTCGCTGTTCCTAACGCCTAGTGACAAAGCTAGCTACATTTCTGAGGACCCTTAGCTACTTTCTGTAGAACTTTCTTCTAGATATTTCCTGCAAATTAGCAACAAAATAGCCATTTTCACTCCGAACCGTTCTTTGAACGTTGTTTCAGCTGTCATCAAGGATATAAATGTTACAGGTACAGAAGATGTCTAGTAAGACTTCAGGCTTTCGTGCAGAAGACATGGGTTTGATTCTGGATGTGAACCTAGTTCATTTAGAGTTTCTTTTTTACATTAATGGTATATTTTTTACAGTAAGATGCCCAAATTTTTATTTGAGACTCGCCGAACGGCATTGAATTCACAGATAAAAAAGATGTGGGTTCAACTTTCATTTTGGAACAATTTTTCAAGCAAGGGAAGGGAATGATCTGAGCATGCAGGAGGACTGACCCATCATAAACCTTTGTCGGCTGTGCTGAAGAGAAAGATACAGAACCAAATTATTTAATTAATTAGCTGCACATTCTCCTGTCCTCTGGGCCACACACACACACACACACACACACACACACACAGAGGACCGTCTCAGCTGTTATTTTCGTTAAGGAGTGTGCACGTACAGCATGCGCGCCTCGTGCACGAGCCTCCTATTGAAGATGCCGTTACGCTTTTGGCCTGAGGGGGCAATCGCGATTATAAACATTCAAAACTCCGTAAAGTCCCATTAATCCTGTTATGCATCAATTGGACTGTTGACTGAATTTTCCTACAGTATATTCAGTCTAAAAAAAAGCACTAATATTGTCTGGCTGAATGTCGCAATACATTGTACCATCTTCCGGTATCGTGATACATATCGTATCGCCGGAATTCCATCAACACATGTCCCTATAAATAAGTAAGAATGCATGTAGACGTACATAATTAAGCAAAACTGAAACACAAATATAAAGTATATATATGTGTGTGTGTGTATATATATATATATATATATATATATATATATATATATATATATATATATATATATATATATTTTTTTTTTTTCCTAAAAAAATTTTCTCCCTTCGCATTTGGGAGGGCGGACCCCCAGCTCCCTCTATGGATGAGCCGCCAAGGGGGCCCAGCGTGATTTATTTTCATGGGGCCCAAAATCTCTGGCAGACCCCTGGTTGTGAGGGTCGTTATTGACTTCCATTCGTTGTAGTGACTGGATTGTGGCTAACCCTAACCCGATAACCAGTCTGTTCCTAACCCAACCCTCTAAACTCCATCAGAACCACAGAGGCGTTACAGGAAGTTGACTGGAGGTCCGTCTGTCTGCTTGTTTCCAGTCTTCGGAGCTGAACACCCTGGAAAAGGTGGTGAAGGCCAACCCGGACAAGCGGGAGAGCATCATGGATGAGATGAAGCAGATCCTCGTTCCGATGGCTCAGAAGTAGGAGCACCAAACATTTGTTCTGATGTTTTATTTAGTAACAGCGTGTAACACGATGACCGCGG